GCAGCCCTGGGCCTCCTTAGCGAACCGAGAATAGGGAAGTGAAAACAAATATCCTAAGTATTGGTACTGAATATCTTAAGTGCTGGTATCCTAAGATTTACACTGAATATTTAATGTATGCATTTCTGATATCAAAGCTCACGCTAAGAAAAGCTTGTTGTGTGAGCGCTAACCCCTACCACCCAATCATACCATTCCAGGTCAACAGCAACTGGGTGGTGAAAACTTAACACGCCGCACTTTTCGGCACAATCCGCCCGGCCCTCTGACGCTGCCTGTCCTGAAGTGCGCCACTGCCGGCAGTCGCAGGCCATATTTGTTCCGGATAAACAACGAGCAGCGAGCGGCTGCAGCGGCCCGAACCCACCCTGATACGGATTGGCGGATCGAAATACAGGCGATCGGAATGCAGACCAACTGAGGTACCGGGACGAGCGAAGCACTCGGTGTGTTCTTTGGGTTTCACGGCGGGCAGTATCTTACGACTGACGACAAATGCGAAATGAAAATGAATTTCGAAGAATGCTCCCCCTTCCCTATTGGGTCCCCCAATGTTGACCTGCCCCCCCCCCCCCCCAATGTTTTTGGCTGGAAGACTACAAAAAACGTAGGCAAAAGATTATCATAACAGAACGACAATCTCCTTTGATCTTTTTGCGTGGTGGCACCCTGTACATGTCTCATAAGAAAAAGTCATGGTTGCACCGACCACGGGATATTAAACATAACAGCTGGGTGGCTTAACGATGCAACAAACTTCACATACTTAGGGTCATAAGACACACGATGGTTTGTGAGGTTTAAGTGAAACATGGGGATGTCCGAAGCCCTTCACGGCTAGCCCCTTCCCCGTCCCTCACAAACAAAATGTGTGCCGCCTCTCATGTCCGCCATAGAAGAGCGCCATCGGCGCCCTAAGGTGGCCTCTAAAGCAACGCCTCCACTTGCCGATCAGAAAAGACTCGTACGCCCAGTGGATACGTGCTTCCTGGATCCACCCCTACATGACCTCTATGTTGCCTATATCAAGTACCTGTATATAAATTATGCAAAGCTTGAAAAAACATATCACTTTTAACCAAACAAAGACACTCATGGACTTAACAAGTGCCCGGGTAGGGGTCGACTTGACGCCCAAAGGTTTTTCCAGAATGGCTTCCTTCAGCGCGGCGTAGTCACGCCAAATTTTGCATAGCTGTAGGCGATTGAATAGGGTATCGTTTGCTACCAAAAATTTAGATACACCGTGTAAAGTCGCTGACCTGCAACAGATTAAAGTTAGGCCATAGATTAAGCGGATACTATTGCTATGGAGTCGTTCAATCTGACGCAATAACAGTTAGGCGAAGCCATACATCTCTGAAGTAATTTTGGGGCAACATTAAGATCAAATGAAGAAATTCTATTGACCTAGGGTCAGATATGAATATCCTTATATGTTTTTAAAGGGTCAGAATAGGTTTCTAGCCCAAAATGATCGGGGCCAACATTTTGTTTTGAGGAGCATAATGCCCAGCGTTATTTTTGTTGCTCATTCAAATGCAAAACCGAAAGCAATCTTGTATGATTTTGGTCACCGTGACCTGCGAAAGATCAAACAATGTCACCGAACTTGACTGAGCTCCAGTGACCTTTTGCCTAGAAAAAGGCATCTATGGTCTGAGGCACTTTTGGCACCACTCTGAAGTTTGACCATGTTTGACCTTATTTGACCCGAAGGTCACAAAATAAGAATGTCAAATTTTGACAAAAGTGAGTTCACATACACACCAATACATCCTGTAAATTAAGTGTCTCTAGCTTTCTCAGTTTTTGAGATCTCAGGGGGTCAAGCTGATTCCCCCGAGCAAAGGATATTCAGCGGGCCACCCGGCGCATGTTGATATAAGAAAGAAACCCCTTCAGGTCTTGATTTTTCCATAATATGAGCTCAAAAATCTTACGTTGAGATCGACCTGCTATCTATCAGGAGGTACTGGTTAAACGGCATTGTAGTTACTTAAAAACGATTAAATTGACGGTACTCTTAGACGTATGTTGCTTCATAGACTTCTCAAAGTAAACGAAAATTTACGATTCCGATTTTGCATCCTGCTTTGGTCCAAAGACGAAGCATTTCCGGGAAAACAACCAGCCACCTTTTAGCCACAGCACTAGTCTGTCATAGTGGACACCTCACGTGCCCACTTATGGTGCCGTTTCGAGGCCGCTCCAGGAGGATGCGGGAAGGCAGCGATTTTAAGTTGGCTGTTGGGCTTCTTCAGGAAGCGCCAGCCAGTAGGACTAAAGAAGATGCTTCATGGAATTACGTGATGGCAATGCTCCAGGGCTGTCTAAATTTGACGGTCTCATTACGTTTGCAATCGAATAATGCAGACAGGGGTGTATCCTGAGGGTGGGCGGGAGACTGTATGGGACCATGCCAGCCGGTCCCTTGGCCCGCTCATTAGTCCAGAGCCACGCTATTGGGCCACACCAAAGCTCAATTTCGAAGCCACATGACCTTTATTTTCAACAGGCACAACATTGCAAAGATACCTCGAAGGGATCTTTCTTGAAAGGCGCAAAATTCCAGGGGGACTGGAATATATGTGCTTTGCCCGTTTGACAATATTCTGTACCGACCCATTCGGCAAAGGAGCACCAAAACATTATTTTCCACAATGTAACCTCTTATTTCCTACATTGCTGACATTGCCGACATTACAACCCTTATTTCCAATCCGCCCAATTCCAGAGGGCACCACGAAGGACCGCAAAGCTTTCTTCTCAAGGGACACAACATTGTTATGGTTTACTCCTCCAACGAAATCCTCGAACAGTTCCTCAGGCAAGGTGCGCCATAATCTTTATTTCGGGGCACCATGGCCCATATTTTGAAAATAGGCTTCTGTGGGATTTACCTTGATTCCTGATCGATTTGTTCTTCGACGTTCGGCAAAGTGGCATCAACATTTTTCGTTTTGCGTCGTCATAACCTTACTTTCCAGTGACGTCCAATTCCCGTGGTCACCTCAAACGATCTCAAAACATTTATTCTTAATAGACAGCAAATTGCGGGATGAACTACAGCATCCGTACCGCTTGATTCATAAAATCATGGATCGGCCCATTCAGTGAAGGGATACCGAAACCTTCATTTCGCCGCACCAATGCATGCATTTACTACAGGCAGCAAGTCCAAGCGGGCCATTGCAAGGGTTCCGAAGCCTTTATTTTAAAAGGAATGTTTCACATTCGGAGATATTAAAATAAACATCAGCTATGATAAAACCAGCCGACTTATAACCATTGGTATACTTTTTAAATGGAGAAGACTGCTCTAAACAGCACGATGCCCGGCTTGGTAAACATGTTCCTTGATGCGTCATGGTTTGATTACGTCATCGCGCCTTTCACAACATTGATTGAGAGCCAATTGACGGCTGTTATATCTGGGAATCGCGCTCAAGAACACCAGATAAGAACGCACCAACAACTGTATTTTTGTTGGCTTTGATCACCGCATGCCTCTTGGCATGGTATAATTTGAATGACGTCATTATGGCGTCATGAATGTCAAGGTGACTTTAAAATACTCTCCCAGATATACCCTTTCCGCGGGCGTGTAGTTCGCGGGCGTATAGCTCATTTTGCCAGAAAATACCTACACAATTTTCGCGAGCGTGCAACTTGGGAATTAGAGGGCAGGTCTGAAAGGGGGCAGGATTACGAGCACCGCCGAAAGGTCTTCAAGATGGCTATTTCAATTAAAAACTGCATATAAATATGAAACACTGCTTTCAAGGGACGCCAAGAATTATTTGCTTTTCACCCTAAAGAAATTCTGAATCTACTCCTTTCGAAGCAGGCACAACAATACCTTCATTGCGGAGCATCATCGACATTATCTAAGCAGGCACTTAACTCCAGAGGGCACCACAGTAAGTCCCAAAACGTTTATAAACGAGAGAAAACAAGACTTAGGAACACTTTAATGCTCCTACCTTCACACGAGGTAGGTCTCGGATCGGCCCACTCGACGAATGGTCACTAAAGCTTTCCTTTTGGGACACAATAACATTTGCTTTTAACGGGTGACAACTCCAACTGGACCATTTGAAAGATCCCAACCTCTTCACTTTTTAAAGAAAATGCACCAAAATCAGGGTCCAACTTATTTTTACCGCTGTGGTAACGCAGAACCTTGCGTATGTTAAGTTAAAGTGCAGACATTAAGAATGCCCATTGTCCCTGGTGCAAACGGTCATTTGTTACAGCTTGGAGGAGCTTATGCGATTTAGATCATGGGGCCTACACACCCTATGGAGCATATAGGCCTATGGCTGTTTGCGGTTGGCCCTACGTGCCGTTTTTCAGAGATTATACATAATCGTTCCACACAGATGAGAGCACATAAGCAGGTACGTCGACATCCGCAACAACGTCATGTATGAGCCGTAGTTTGCCGCATGTAATTTTTGTTTGCCGTTTGCCGTAAAAAAAACATAAATAGGAATAGCCAAATAAGAGCCGTAAAAAGCCTTGCTGGAAACCAAGCCGATGGAGCTGGCAAATTTCCAAATGGGGCTGAACCGTCGCGCGCCATCACGTTGATGCAACCAGACAAGAACATGTCCTATTGCTTGAGAGTAAAAACATCTGGAGGTTACTCCTTCCAGAACCCGGAGCTGATGGGCTTACCCACCAGCGTGGGGTAAATCTGCTTTCAGTGCAACCGTATCGGGCACGTCACGCCCTTGACTGGTGCCACTGAACGCTGGCCAGTGTTCCGCTTACTGGGATTTGGAAGCGATGCCAAGGACAAATAACATTACGACTATTGACGCTACAAGCATTTTGCCAAAACGTCTGTAGACGGAACAGCAAGTTTGCCTCTCCATGTTCTCACCAGTTTGGCAGGCTTTGGTGATTGCAGTCGGGTTTGATGACCTCCGTAAGAGACGTCCACCACACAACACTAGTAGAACTACATCACATGCAACACTATTGTGAAGTGCTCCAGTGCAGATTCACTGTATTCAGATAATGATATGAATACAATCAATGCGTTTTCTCTGATCCAACCCGGTATCTGTGTTGCATGTGACGTCACCTATGGCATTGCCCAAGCGCGGGCAGAAGACAGCTAGTGGTGCAGGAACTATTGAATATGCCTCATAATAACAGTTTATGGGCCTTAATGACAGTGGTCCGATAGATGAGCAGCGAGGAACGTTGCTTTAAGTCGGCATATCTTGTCCACGCACACTTCAAATGGCGAATTTGTTTTATCTCGTAAGAGAACAGCGGTGCCATTTGAAATAACAGATGAACATGTCCATTCCAAATAAAAGTCAAACGTCTGCTGCTCCGTCATGAGGCCTAGATAAAGGTTATTATTTCCTTTTTTGCCACTATTTAGGTAACATAAGAACAATGTGCCAGCGTGCAAAAAACAGAGTGTACATACAGGCAGACACGGATGACATTGCTGTGAAGGATTTCAAAGAGAATCATGTCTTGGCCTTCTTCTACAAGCTGCTGGATATTTACTATCGCAGCTTCGCGTAGTCCATTTGCCATCTGAGGCATTGATTGTTGTACACTTGCAGTCACTGGTCAGACAACGGAACCATTGGGTCCAGTCAGCTACAGCAGGCTTATCATTTGTTTTTAAAATCGCCCAGGCGAAAGGCCGGTTCATTGCTCTGAGCACCTTTACAACGGCTTGGCCATCCCGCTCAGACGTGCCGTACACTGGATTGGCGTCACCCATCTCGGTGCAGGCCACCTGGAAGTCATAGCCAGTGATGGCACCAGACGTCAACGTATAGCACATTCCGTCCACCAGATGCCAGCCTCCGTTGCATGCTGCACCTTCTGAAGAAGCCGGTGGAGCCTTCGTGCTTCTGTCTGGCCTTTTACTGGGCGGAGCTGTTGGAATTACGTAGCACCTGCAACCCGTGGGGCAAAGGCTGATTCCTGTGATGGATTGCATTTTTTGCGGATATTTGGGATTTTCACAAATGCCTTCCTTGGAGCATGGGACCCACTTGTCTTGGAGTCCACTCATGTCACACCCATTAGCAATAGCTGCGGGAATGACTAATGCTAGACAATGTATAATTAATAGCCATACAATTCCCTTTTCATGCGTCATATTTGTGAGCATGAAAATAAACTGAAAAAACCAAAGACAATGCACACCACTCCTACGTAAATTTCGCGTCTTTTCTAAAACAGATATGTGATATCTGGGAACGAAACGAATGCGATGATTTCACATTTCATAATACAAATCACTTGCATGCCAACCCATACGTGCTTTCAAAGAGAAGATGCATTTTATTATTGTTTCAGCTGACAGGCAATACCGATTAATTGAACCCGTATTTTTTTACATCCCTGTGAGAAACATGGGTGCAATTAGTGGCACCCCTGACGTCACTACAACGCTATTTACATGCACTGATGATTCCAAAAGCTGACACCTGCTAAACGTTACTGTGCAGCTACGTTACGCTACGCGTGTATAAATTCTAAAATGACATACCTTATAAGTAAATGTGCATCAGCTTATGCGATTCAGATCATGGGCCCACACACCCCACGGAGCGTATGGGCCTATGGCTGTTTGTGGTTGCCCTACGCGCCGTTTTTTCCAGAGATCATGTGGTTTGACGAATGTCCACCATCAGCTTTCAAGCACGGCAGATTTTCGAGGCCAATTCAAGGTGGGCGTTATTGATTTAAAGCGTTCTCCAGCTAATGGTAGGCTCGGAGAGCCTTTGCGCAGTTGACGGTTGAGGATCTCAAATAATGTACTGAACCCACAACATGACAAAAAACTTTTCAAGACTAAGGGATTATTATTTCCTGGAAAAGGCTACGGAAACCGCAATGAGCTTTCGCAGAGGGCTTTCTTTCAGAGGGCTCAAACATTCGATGGCCCTGATGAGGTCAACGACTCTAACCGCAGTCATGGTGTCCCAAAAAAGTCTATCTCAATTAGGCGAAGACGCCTCAGAATGGATCCCGGATATCAATATGGGCCGTCGGCATGGTTGGATGACCCAGGTTGTAATGACGCGGGCACATGATCTTGCCAGCGACTTTCTCACGGCAACGCTTCTGTCACGGCCAAAGGACCTGCACAGTCAGGAGCAGTCGGAGGACATCCAATATCGTGGCCGCGGCCCGGATGCGTTGCCGGCGCGTTGCTCGGCGGGCGGCGCCCGAACGGCGCGTCAGCTGAGCGCGATCAGAACGGCGGCGGCCGGCAGCAGACGCGACAGGTCGGCGCGTGGCGCGGCGCCGCCCGCTTGGGTAGAGCGCGACAGCTTCGGAACGCGCCCATCCGGGTAGCCGTCTGGCAGCTGGGTGGTGTTCTCTGCGGGCGCCCAGGGTGGCGACGTAGACATGCGCGGGATGACAGGCTTCGCACACGAGTGCTGGCTGCTCGTCCACACTGTGGAAGACAGGCGGCTTCAGCGGCGCCGACAGAGGCGGGCAGCGCGGTATCCACAACTCGGATCATCAGCACGGTCAGGCGGCGCGGTACCCACAACTCGGATCATCAGCACGGTCAGGCGGCGCGGTACCCACAACTCGGGTCATCAACACGATCCGGCAGCAGGCGGCGCGGTACCCACAACTCGGGCCATCAGCGCGGTCAGGCGGCGCGGTACCCACAACTCGAGCCATCAGCACGGTCAGACGATAGGCGGTGCGGTACCCACAACTCGGGTCATCAGCACGGTCAGGCGGCAGGCGCCGCGGTACCCGACAACTCGGGTCATCAGCACGGTCAAATACGAGACAGCCCACCCTCTCTCCGACCACAGCGTAGAACACAGCCCACCTGCCCTCCTGCAACAGTTAACGGCATGTCCACCTGCTCTCCGGCACAGCATGCGGCGTAGCCCATCCCGTTCTCCGACTACAGCATGAGGGTTCAGCTCACCTGCTCTCCACCAGAGCGTTGGGACGTGAGACTGGTGCAATTCACGCTACCCAAGATACCTGTATTGTTGATAGAAGAACGCAGCCTTTCGGTAGAAGATTTAGCACATCTGTTGTGAAAATCCCACGTGACCTCGCAGTGGACATCTTGGGATAGCTCAGTGCATCTCTTGCCTGGAGGCACAAACCAAAACAAATTTCAGGGAACAGTGGGTTGCCCCAGTTGGGGTCACACGATTTGCAATAAAGCCAGCCCTCGTCTGAGGTCTTGTTTTTCGTTTCCAATGTGTAAAAATTGTAGTCAGTGGTTCTACTCCAGGGTGCACACCTCTGCAGCCAATCACGCAATCCACTGTGCCATTGGGCTATCGCATTTTACTCAAATTATCCTTGCGGGACATTGTATGGGGCAAACAAAGTCAACTTTGCAAAGGTTGTTGTTAAACGTTGTCTACCAACGACCATGGAAGATTTCGTTGTGTGGCGGGTGCGCCAACGGCTGCAGTAGCTTGCATTTGCCAGTTCGAATGTGGTTGAGTTCTTTACTGAGTAAAAGTATGCGTATTAGCAACCGCCCCGGGTGGAACGTGGTGAGTCGATTTGACTTCACCCTGGAGTTTTTGATGGAATTATTTCCGAATAGAAAAGTTGGCTGCAGGCAATTTAATCGCGGATCTTTTGGTGTGAAAAATTAGATACACCTTGTAAGGTCTCTGAGCTATGGTAGCTTAAAGTCAGGCCGTAGCTGTCAGCGGAGCCAGTTTCTTGGGAATGTACAGTCGGATGCGACAACAGTGTTAGACAAAGTCATATATTTCTAAGAACTTTTCTTAGGCAAGAAAACCATTGAATTTAGGGTTACAGCATATTTCATGGACCTAGGGTCAGTTATGAAGGTCAGACTGAGGTCAATACGAGGCATTTCTCACTAGAGAAAAGCTTGTTGTATGGGTTAGTTTCTGATGCTCACCTCGAGTTTCTAAATAATAAATACCGAAACAGATATCTTCCATGAACTCCTTGAAGGTCAGAGTAAGTCACTGGCCTAGAATGACCCAGATCAAGGTTTTGTTTTAGAAACATACTACCTAGCGTATTCTTTAAGGCTCATTCAACTTAAAAAAATCAAAACAGTCTCCAGGGTTTTTGGTCACCATCATTTTCTCAAGAACAAACAAGGTCACTGACTTTAAACGAACAATAATTACCCTTCGCTTAGAACGGGTGTGTAGGTTCACGGTGGTTGCATGTAATGGGCTGGGAACACTTTGGACACAAATCTTGAGTATGACCTTGTTTGACCTTAGCTGACCCAAAGTTAATGACCTATGTACCTCACATTTTGGCACAAGTGAGTTCACATACAGACCAACCCACCCTGTGAGCTTGGTGTTTTTAGCTCACTTAGTTTTAAGGCCTCAGTGGGTCAAAGTGAGCCCCACCCGAGTTAAGAGTATTCAACCAACTACCCGGGCGCGTGTTGAATTGGTTCGGCATCAACATAGTTCACTAGCTACTCGCACAGTGCCTATACCGCAACTGTAAGTAAACAAAAGACCCCAGTATCCCGATACCAAAATCACATTTCAATGAATCCCGATGGAACCCTGCATTCACCATTGGAATCCAGATACATGTGTACCTCCATACACACGTATACATAAAAACAAAACTGAGCTGTCAAAACCCTCTCGAGAAAAGGTCGACGAAAGGGCAGGGCAGATGGGCAGAGGGCAAGATGGAGCGTGCCGAGCATGGCGGCACGTTAAACTTTCGCTGCAACGTTCTACCTTTGACCCGGAGCTCTGTAAGCGGATCAGGACTCACCAAACGAGCACTGCTTAGCCGAGGGGCTCATCCTAGAATATATATTTAAAAGGCTCCAACTAAACCTTAACCAAGTCATCGCCAGCGCAATCATGCTACAAGAAAAAGCCGTACACCCCAGCACAATTGAAGAAAGTAGTCATTACATCACAAACGGTCAGAGCGGTGTGAGCACCTATCTTCTGATTCCCAGTCGTGTGATCGTAGACGTTCTAAGGTATCACTTCTTTTCCGTGAGAACGAGCACGCAGAGCACTGGCAATGCACTGTGAGGCCTCCCAATTGTACCTCGCAGACAGTGGAGCGCAGTACACAGCACACCAGCGAGGTCTCCCAATTGTGCCGCAAGTGCTCGGGTCAACAGTATACCAGGTGCACAAAGTAGTCGTAGAATGATCACTGAATGGCAAAACGTGATAAAAACAGTGATAGCCATCAGCGATCTTATATTCGTCCAAGTCACGACTGTACAGAAGCTGCCTCTTTTAGGACGAGAAGGAATATCTTGTTAATGCCATCTCAGAGCGCTTCATCGCCGCTGTTCTGATACCCTTCTGGGCGGCCCTGGGACAACTTCATGGGATCGATCCGAACGAGAAGGGACTCCAGCAGGCTGGGGCTGCCTTCGACCGAACAGTTGACTATCTTCAGCAGGTTCAGCTGTGTATGTGGGGATGGGCAGGAGGGGTGGGGTGGGGGGATGGGTGGGTTGGGGTGGGGGTGGGGGTGCGTGGCAGGTGTACATAAAGGTCGATTAGCTGTTGTGACATTGGCCTGGTGAGGTAATTGCTTGTTGATGTCAATGTTTCAACATTCCTACAGCATACATGTTGCGTATTCCTACAGCATGCATCCTGCACAGCCTAGGGCACATTCAATGCACCTTTTGTTACCACTCTTTGACGGGTGTCGAATCACTCATACCTGCTGTCGTCGCAATCGTGTTTTTCTACTCAATTGGCAGTTGAATACCACCGCAACCACGATTGTGTGGCAAACACACTTACCACTGCTGAGACAATCATAGGCTAATTTTAATCTTGGCTAACTTGTACCTTTAAAAGCTATTACATATCGCAGCTAATTGCTCTTCATTCTAATACAGATGATTGAATGCAAAAGCTTGCCAAATATTTGTAAACTGGCCTAACATACGAAGAATGGAGGAGGTAACATAACACAATCATTATGTACCTAAGCAGGATACCATTTGATGCAAAATAAACACAATACATAATACTTGATGCAAAATAAACATTGACGTGTATAGATGCCTAGTGTACCAATGATAAACATGTATTTTTGTATTTATTTGGTCCAACATTCCCTCTTCTATCATATGCGCTGAGGGGGCTCCGAGGAGCATGGGGCTCGTCATCAGTGGAGAGGGGGGGGGGCTCGGCCCCCCGCAAAATATAACAAATGGCGCTCTTACCGACAGAAAATGAAAATTTTGGAGACGTACATGGACGGTTCAGGAGTCATTGCCGGGAACAAGAGGTGGATCCTTTGTCCCATCCCTGATAGTTTCAGGCTACATCTCAATACATTCACGCATCGCACTTCGTCTGCGCTGAAAACATCGAGCGGCAGCTGCTACTGAGAAATGCAAAATCTATTTGGGCAAAAGCTACCGACATTCGGACGCGAACATCACAAGCACCATTTTACAGACATTTATAATGTGTTACACTGCAGAGCCATCAAACATTGTAGGATTCATCAAACGTAAAGTGATGACCGATTTTCACGTCGCCAAATTTTTCCACTAAAGAACATTTGCGTAAAAGCATATGCTTAACATACGCCCAGGTGGGCAGCTGAACACAGCTCCGCCCGGATGGGGTCAATTTAACCCTTAGGGTTCTCGAAAAGCGAGATTGCTAGAGACCCCAAATTCACAGGGTAGACTGGCCTGCATGTAAACTCACTTTGTTAAGATTTGAGGTTCCTGAGTCACGACCCTGAATAAAATGAGGTCAAACAAGGTCAAACTTCATATTGGGGTCTTCAGTGCCCCCCTGACCACTTCATGCAACCGCCTTGACGATAGATACCCGTTATAAGGAAAATATTGATGAGGTCAGTGACCTTGTTTGACACATATCTTACGAAATTGCTCCTATTTTGCCATTCGAATAAGCGACAGGGATAACACTAAGCGGTATGTTCCTAAAACAACATGTTAACCAGGGTCATTTCAGACCAGTGGCCTACTCTGACTTTAACGAGTATGTGAAGCATGTCTGTTGCGGTCCCAGTCACTGCTTAATTTGAAATGAGCACTAGAAACTACCCCTAAGAACAAGGTTTCAAGCAAAAAAGGCAGGTTAGCTTTGGTGTCTTTCTGGAGTTCATACGAGTGGAATTGGTTGCAATTATAACTTAAATTGGTTTATTGCCTAAGAGATTATCTCCATAAGATATGTATGGATTCGACTAACACCCCGTTGTTGCGCCATGTTGAACAACTGTCTAGAAATACCTTTCGCTGACAACCATGGCCTGACTTTGAACTGTCATAGGTCAGCGAACTTACAAGGTGTATCTTATTTTTACATCAGACGCTATTTCATATACGCTACTTGATATAGCATACGCTTAGTCAGTTCAAATGCTATTTTTCGGTTTAAAACTCTATACAGATGTGGAACATTCCCTTCAAGAACGTCTACAAATGTTTTGTTATTAAGCTTTTGGGAGCGCATAACCGCGCACTACGCCATTGCCATCAGTGTTCAATGCAGCGAGCAGGCAAAATTGCACCACTGGACTAAGTGATGCGCGTAGTCACCAAGCAGGGCAATGCACAGTTGGCGTTCGTACAGCTTACGAATGGGGCGTGCACAATTGCAATCGGCGATGATGGAGGAAAGCCTAGGATTATATACAGGACGATTATTTATAGCTCACAAGGGAAACAGACAATCCAGTGCAAGTGGCTAAAATGCAGCTGGACAAAATACTTACAGATTCCCTGTGCAATCTCGGCATCATCTACAATCATTGGTGGAGTTTCCTCTCCCTGGACAAGCATCGCTGACTTTACAAGAACAAACAACACAATTTGAATGTGACATACGAAGAAGACTATGTCCGGCTTAAGTTTCATTGCTAAGCCCATCAAATACGCATGGTGTCAAACGATATTTTGCGTCGTTTGTCACCATACCCCAACCGTTATGTCTTACGGTAATTTTGCACGGAACGCATACTTGAATAAAACGGATTTTGGTTACGTAGAGCACAAAGCGTCTAATTTAAATGATTATGCGGGGCCAACGGACAGAAGGAAAACTCAGGGTTGAAGAGAAAGTGCGAATACCAGCAGTAATATCGTGAGGAGCGCTAAAGGAACCCTCCAACAAGCCGAAATAATCATAGTTATGCATCAAAGACATGACCAAATGATAATTATTTCAATGGTCTGATCCAGCAAATATCTCAGTCAGATGGCTGTGCTTACCGGAATTTCCAGACGTCGTTGCATATCCTGACATATACGTCTTACTATGTCGTCTATCACATCACGTGCCGGTGTCAATGGGATGCATCCAGGATGGCAAGTGGAGAAAAAATTGACCACGCGAGGACAGGCGAAATCTTGATATGTTTTAATCGCACAGCAAATATAAACAGGTCTCATACAGCATTATTGAGGCATGGAACAGTGCGACGGCCTGCCAATCTTCTCCTTGAAATGGAGGGTCTTAAATATTGAACGAAATGCGCTTTACCAACTTGAAAAATTCACGTAACCAGCAGCCGACCAGACCTTCCTGAGCATCTCATCTTACCCGGGTGGGGCTCAGTTAACCCCGCGACGAACGAACGAACGAACGAAAGAGCGAGAAAAGGAGCATGTGAATAATTGACCCAATGCGCCTTAAGGAGCTGAAATGTTACATTTTGCGCTTTGTGTTCGGCTGTGCCGCTGTACACTAAGCTATAAAGAGAAAAAACGCCACAATGAAGGCACCATGTGGTAGCAAACCCTGTCACTAGGCCCTAGCTAAGGCAAGAACTCTGCGCACTGTACAGCATAAAGAGAGAACCATTGGCAACAATAGATTTGCATGTGAATCAGGGGATGATGCAAAAAGTTTTGATATATCGGAGTCTAGCTAAAATATCCCTTAGCCTCACCCTATCGGAGGGAGTCTAGATCGGCACCAGTAAATCAGAACACCCATAACTTGTTTAAGCACGGCTATAGTTGGTGAATATTGCGGAAACGTCGCGATGTGTGCAGACATGCGCATTTACTGCTTTGGATAAATCTTTGAGCATTCTGTGGCCTTTTAAACTTGCAGTGAAATGGCGTTCAGCGGGCATTCCGGCAGTGGCTGGCTGGACTGGCACGAACAAACTTTAAATCATTGGCCATGAGTTACTTGGTCCTTGTTGGACCTGGATCATCGTCATGAACACTTGGAACAAATACGCTTTGTACATTTCAACTCCGGAGCCGTTTTTAAAATTCGGAACTTAAGTCGCTATACAGCGCTTGAAATAAATGATGAGATTCTAGTTCAATAAATAAAAGTGATAAGCAATAGCTTTTACATCAATTCACTTTACCTAGCCTTTATCAATGACCTGGAGAACATTGCCATTTGAAACGCCGACAATATGTAAAAGAAAAATCAGGGATATTCTGAGACAAAGACAAGGATGTTGCCAAGGAGAACATAATCCGTTCAGCAAAGACGCGTTCACTAGGTCCTGGGCGATTTCGCAGGAATTTGGGCCAAACGAGCAGCATTTATGCGGAAATTTGACATCTGGCCTCAGCGAGAAAGATTTCTGCTGCGTGCCTGAGGAAACGGTCCTCAAAATTTCGCAGGCATTGTGTCGTTTCATTGTCATCGTGTGCCTATGTTTGGGGGTCACAAATGTTACCCTTCCAGCCGGGAACGGTTTTTAAACCATGCTACCCATGGAAGTATACACCTTTTTATAAATTTGAAATGAAGCTTTTTGAGCGGATGGATTTCTGGGTTCCAAGCTCATCCTAAGCAGTGTTGTGTGGGTATCCCTGCCAACAATCGTGGAATTTCAGGTCAGCGGAAAAATTTATTGGCCACGATTTGAAGTGCTGCAAGGCAGGGCCCGTCCTGCCACGGCCCAGCCTGACCGCTGGCACGGACGCTGCCACCGGACGCTGACCACACCTGTTAAGGACAAATAGCGAGTGCTTCAGTGACTCGAACCCACCTCCCGCGGGTGGGTGGATCGAAAGGCTCTGAAAGGAGAGGCCCTGACCAACTGGGCCATTGGAACTAACCTCAGCTGTGTTTTGTTTCAACTCCGTTACGTTACAGCGCCTCACTCATATAACCTGAAGTGAACTCATTGCATTCATTTCTTCTCTGTTTTCAAGCCCGCAACATTCTTATTCCTGGTCACGTAAAAGCGGCGTTTACCAACTCTACTGCCCACGGTGTGCAGCCTCACTAGACGCTCAAAGTACACACTGCCCCTTGCCATGTTTCAAGGGGGGGGGGGTATATATTCTATACTCCGTCCGCTATGTGAGGCACAACGCGCGGGAGCTCATCCTTAAGTAGTCAAACTTGATGGTTTTCTCATGACCGTACCAACGAGTTCGGCCACAGCTGAATGCAGTTTCAGCACGTGAGAGGGATTGAAAACTTGCTTCGCTTAATGGTGACACGGAAAAATCCACACAGCAGCAGTGTAGCAAGTAAATCGTTTTCTCCTGGATCGAATCAATCCAGCTTCTGCCACTGTCGGCTTTGCAATCCAAGTTCATCACGCCAGGGAACGCTTGGCTGCGCTTAGGGCGGCGCCATAGGCGATGTGGGTGAAGATCTGGAAGGAGTATGTGAGCTCTGTGATTCTCAGCACCATATCGTTTGTTTTTTTATCGCCACCGTAGTAAGTAGTAACCATTGCTCTATAACCATTGCATCCGTAACCATTGCTCTATAAGCTAACCAAAAACGCTTGTCATCGGACGTTTGAGAAAGGGGAGGGGGGGGGGGGGGTTCTGCAGTGGGGTGCGCATGCACTGCGCAGCTGCTCGGCTGCCGCTGTTGCTGAGCGCCACGACCGCTACTTTCACGCCTCCTCACAAGAGCAAATTCGCATTGAGGAGCTAAGAAGTCAGCATACGAGACAAGTGATGTTAGCGCACGACTCGGCACGTCATGACCGCGGTACACGCAAAATCGATATTCACGCTCATGTGAGCCACAGAGCCAGGGCGAGGCGGGTGACCGGGGTATTGGCGGCGCGGTATTTCCGGTCAGGCACCATGAACGACCGTCTCAATGTGCATGGTTGTCCACCTTCAACCACGGGATCAGAGCTCCGCGGCCGGTGTACTGGAGACTTGGCCTGACCGGCCTGTTCTATGACTTAGTCCTCTGTTGCCTTTTCTATAAGCGTCGATGGCGGGATCTCTATTCATGCCGAACATCTCGCGACCAAAGGCTTATACGGCCTGATGTACAACACGTCGGAAGAGCACGAGCTGTGTCCTGGTTTTTCCCGAGGCGTTATACTCCGACGGATAGGTCCATTTACCACCGTGCATAACCCTGCACACCGGGCTGTCCGAACTGGTCCCTGGTCACATCATGCCGTAACTCCTGACGTCAAAGGAGAGACAACGAAACGAGTCCACCGTCTCCTGGGTCCAAAATAAATGTGCCGTGTCTTCAGGTCGCGCAACACATCAAATATTCATCTGCATGTGCATGCACGCTAGACGGAGGACGGAGTCAACGGAGAGGACAGCGCGAGCATGAAGGAATCCGCGCAAGCGCGCTGGACAGGGTTCAGCAACAGTTCGGTCGCTCCCAATTATAAAAAAGAAGCAATGCGAGCAAATAGCTGCAGGGAAGAAGGAGTTTGGACAGCATGGGCGCCATACGAGACCAATCAATCAATCGACCTGAGCGAAGCAAGAAATAAAGAAGACAGCGTGGTCGTGAGCGAATCGGTGCATGCGCGATGGACGGCGCTCAGTGGGGGTTCGGCCGCCCCGGGCTATCCGAAAAAAAATCAAGGAAACAAGGGAAGGCAAACCGTCCAGCTAGCCAACAGCCTAACGCCATAGCCAAGGGAGAGTCAACCTTCATGGAATGCCGGCGTGGCCTGTACGCCACACCTTACCGCGACACGGGACCGGTCCCTGCCGGGAGGGCGGGTCGGAGTGAACTCCGGTGGATTTTCTCTCGAAAGACGTTCCCGCCTGGTTTCGTTTAGCTGGCTGCACCTCCGTGGAGTTCTGGTTGGCTTCTGACTGGTTTTTGCTTTAGCCCCGTCTTGTGCATGCCACTGGTCGATCCTGGATGCACCGAGAAGACGTCCGTAGTAATGCACATGCCTCGGGCGATGCCGGTATGGAGGCTCTTTGTCTGCGGTGGACCTGCCTGTTTTGCGTGCACAGCTGATTTGCGTGCACAGCTATCATTGCGCCTTGATTATGGCTCGCGCTTGATGGATGCCGATGCTCTCCGGATCCAGTGGATTGGCGCCGTCTTTTACCGGGGCTTGTCTTAGCCTTCGCTAGCTATGCCCTCTCCCAGGTTCCTGTAAGATAAAACTTACGTTTTTGCGCTGCTTTTTTCTCACCATTGCTGGCCAAAAAACACAGGAAAATATCCTGATAGTTTGCAAGTTTGTTTGTTTATTTATTTGCTTATCTATTTACTTTCTTTCATGGACAACAGAACAGCACTCCATCAACGGGCGAGGTCGTTTAAATATAATACAATAAATACACAGCACATAGTAGTGCGAGCATAATAAAAAATGGCATATCTCGAAGTTATGTGAAGATGCTACAGAGTGAAATCATGTTTGATCACTTAAGCTCTAAAAATCCTCAAACCATTATGAAAGACATCAGCAATAGTGTTGCTAGCTAAAAAAGTGTTCCCAAGGCTTGCCAGCCTACAAAACAGGCCGCTCTGTACTGCCTGCACACGTGCGGGGATTACAGCGCGCAGAGTTTAGATGCGGATCGATGGAGGCCGCACAAGTAAGGGAAGCAGCTTAACAAGATTTGAGGGTCCAGTTTAACCTGGTAGATGTTTCTCAGAAAGAGTAATTCGTGCTGCACCCTTCGTACTGCTAGGGATTGGATTTTTAAGTGAAGCAGAAGGATGTCATAAGAAAGGGAAGCTGCTTGGCCGGTGAATGTGTGAGTAAGCAGCCAAATAAGAAACTTGTGCTGCACTCGATCGACCCGCGCCGACCCGGACTTGGCCACGCCGTCCAGATCGCGCTGCAGTATTC